GGGGGGGTGATATCCACTGATGATGGTTGCTTTTCTTTAAGGGTAAAACTCATTATAAGAAATTAGTAGAGCAGCTTTAAACAATCTGCTACCATTTTCTGTCCTGTAGCTGCAAAGCAAAACTATTAACTTGCTACCTCATTTTTAGACAAAGTACACTTAAATTAAGATATTTTCATCCACTGTGGCCTTTTCTCTTATACAGAGGCTTTTATCTGACCAAATAAGAGTGCACGTCACTTTGAAAGCAACATTTAAGGAGGTTTAAGAATATTAAATGTTCAGTTTACACAATTGCACAAAGCTGTCAGCGATTGTGACTGTGACTTGTGATAACAAGGTTGCTTTTTTGTAGAGAAAAAGCAGCATATCCTGTTACTGCAACAGTTACATCAAGCTGCTTTACAAGCAAACAATCATGGCAAAAAGTTCCACATGAGTGCTGCTGTGAAATATGGACCTAACCACCGGGACATCATTTATTTGTTCACCTTCTATTTCACAGCCTCAGTTTTATCTGTTTTAATGTCTTATCTGGTTTCTTTTCTCGTACGATACATTAGCAGAGTGTCAATCAAAAGGTAGCTATGTCCAAAAACACTTAAACTCTTTAGGAAACTACTTGTTGAAGTGAAAACCAAAACAGAAGCACAATACTTTCTCATAGATTTCTGTGCATTCACACTTTATCCCCCCAGCTGGCCACTAGAAAGAACGATGATTAAAGCCCAGACCCAGCAGCTATGTCCATCTGATACATGCGCTTCCTGTGTGTACGGCATGTTTGATCTCTCTTTAAACTGGTTGTTTTGTTAATGTTTAAATGTTTGTTTTATGGAGTCTTCTCAAAATCTACTCTGTTAGACACCCCCACATCTTCGCATGACCTGGAGGGACAGAGGAGCCAACCTGCAGAGAGACGTGACGACCCAGAGCTGACCAGCTGGCTGACACGTTACGGTGCTGACCAGGATGCCATAGACAGGGTGGGTCTCTGATTTATTTATTTTTTAAACAAAGCCCTTTTTAGGATGATGCAAGTAAAAAAAAAAACATTTCTGTAAATATAATTTTCTCCACTTTGTTTCTTTAGATACTCAATGAGGAGTATACATTGAACGACATCCTTCATGATGTCACAAGAGATGATCTGAAGAGTTTAAGACTGAGGTAGAAAAAGATTTTTTTTCTTTTGCTTTTAAATATTTCTATATTTGCTTCATATTTTGTCTTCAGTATTTAGTCCCCAAAATACGTGCTGAAACTTGTACCTGATCACAGGAAGAGAAACAAGGGGGTTAAGATGGGAGCGTTGCATAATGGGAGTGTGTTGTTGCATTTCCTGTTCTTACACAAAAGTTTCAGAAGGCAGCTTTGTACTTCAGCAGTTCTTTGAGGCTAATCTACGAAGGACTTAAATTATCACAAATTCTGTAAATCTGTTTATAAACCAAAATTTAATTTAATTTGCAGGGACCTCACAGGTCAGTAAGATACTGCTCTTGTAAGTTCTAACGTGGGCAGTTTGGTTTGGACGTAGCTATGTTGCCATGCTCAGGTTGTGACGCTTAACCTGATGTCTTCTAAAATTTTATTAGGATGAAAATAGCTCTGAATAATTCCTCAAACAGGTCACACAACACGCATCTAAACATGAGTATTGATGTCTGCTACTGCAACAGTTTTCACCTCCTCTTTAAAGTTTCTTTGCAGCACTGCAGGTCCAAGCATACTAATTATACTGCGTTCAATTTAGAGTGAAGCATGAATAAAACAAACTACTATGAAGTTCTTATTGGTTGTGTTTGATATCTGGCGCCACACTGTGGTCATATCAAACATTCAGCTATACACACCATATCTACTAAATTGCTTCAGGGTATCGCTAGGTCTTTTTTGTGTGATTGTATGTTTTGGGGTGGGGGTGGTGTTCCCCTCTGATGTTGCTGCATTAGAAGGGATCTTACTGTCTGCACATCTGACCCACAGGTTGATTGAAATTGTGTCATGCAACAGGACAATGATCCCAAGGGCTAAAAAAGCAGGAAAGGAATCAATAACCCAGTCAAATTCCAAACCTCAACCAGATTGATGAACTGAAGTAATGTTGTACCGATAAAGTCATACAGAAACATTAGTTATTACACAGAGACCAGGGAAAACTGTCTTTTTCATGACCGTACAGTCTTAACTCTGTGTGATCTGTGCTCATGAGTCCCTTCTGACTCTCAGGACAAAGTAAACCATTTAAAATATGATATTTTCAAGTAGGTTGACAACTGATGGTTTCTTACAAATGGTATAATATTCATTGGTGTGTGCTTTTAGCTAACAGTATTTTGTTTGTCTCGACAGAGGTGGGGTCTTGTGTAAGCTATGGAAGGCCATCACAGACTACAGGCAGAAGCTATTCTAAGGCCTTAAGTGGTGACAGCCACTCAGAGAAGCCAGGACTTTTTTTTGTCCCCAACAACTCCTCTTTACCTCAGCGTTTATAAAAGCAAGATCCTGGAGAAGAAGCTGTGTTGACCATGTTCAAAGTCTGCAGCTTTCCACCCACACAACAATCTTCTTGAGTATTTTATAATTTTGAAAACAAAGAGTTTGGATATTAGGTCATTTTGAAAGTAAAAATTAATGAGAAGTGCCACTAGTTTTGTTATACCTGATGGACAGGGCACAGCTTTTGTTACAGGTGTGTTTAAAATGACAGCTGGTAGGAAAATCTATTATTGAAATCTTGAAAACTGTCAAGAAAACCATTTTCTCCTGTCTTTACAAGATGTGACGTTTACAACTGACCGTTTTCTAATACAGGCCTGAGATACAAAATACTACATTCATCTGTACTGATATTTTTATCATTGCTTATCTTATCACTACTTTATTTAAATGTGTTTTAATTTAATTGTTATAGCAATCTGAAGGATGTCATTCCATGTACTGCTTTTGTTTTTTCTTTTATTTTGTTTTTTGTTTTGTTTTTTCCAAACTGAGACTTATTTAAATTGTCCATGCTTTTTTTTCCACATTTCCTTTTATAATATGAATCTACAATTTTATTTTTAAGAAATCTATTATGTAAATATAGTGTTATATAATTCTATGTGGATGACATTTATGTACTTTGAAAAAGACATCTCTAAACACAGTCAAATCTCCATGTAGATTGGACCAAGTTTGCAATGAGCACATGTGAAAAATTAATTCTGTATTATTGTATTTTCTAGTATCACGAATCATAGATCATACTCACTTAATTGGCAAAATTGTGTTTATCTTGCATGTGTTGTGTCAGCTTCATTCAGTCAAATATATAAGTTGTAATGAAAAATCTGACATGCAAACAAACTTCATATGGAAGAACCTTGATGTCCTTTTTTATTAATATTTTAAACCATAATGTCAGAAATTGGGGGGGAATCGGTGAGCCTTGTGTCTGTTTTGTTTCAGATCTGATTCAAGATTGTTGTGATATATTGTTAAAATAAAACTTTTCATCTTGAAGCTGTGAAGGAACTGTGTTAGAAGTGTTCTTCAACAATTCACTCTAAATGTGGGAGCAGGGGGATGATAATGGAAGTTGTTCTCCATAGTAAATTAAACACAAATAACTGTTTTGTTTTTTTCAAAATGAATAAAAAGTAATTTCTGCACTTATCATCTAGAGGAAAGGTCGTTCATTTAGAAAAACTAAATGTTGACAATAAAAAGTTAGGACTTACTATATGAATCATATATTTCTCTGCTTATTTCCGTATTGTGTTTACCTTACATTTCACCAGTATTGTATGTTTACTCCACTACTTAATATGTTACAGAGATCATTTTCAAAGCTTTGCATGTTTTTATGGCCTTCGTATGCCAGTGTCAATTCTATCTTTATAGAATAGTTCATTACATGTTAACTCAATGTTATTAAAAGATTAACAAAAGAAATAAACTGTAGCCCAACAATGGCTACTGTTAGCTTGAATGAAATGAAAACAAAACTTAACACACACTCGGAGAGCATCATTAACTGTAAGACTGTGAGAATAAAACTCTTTCAATGCTATTTC